CCTAGGCATGCGTCAAAGAGACTGAACCATTCTGGTACCGGTGGGCGTGCCTCGTATACGCTCCTTACTTGGGCAACTTCTTCAATGAAGACTTGTCGTACGTGGTGGTTCAGCATTTCTGTCTATCATGCGGCACTTCCACAGGCTATGCAGGCCTAGAAGCATGAATAAATCGTATGGCACAAGTTCGTGTGTTTCGACAGGAAAAAACCGTATACTATGTTCCGTAAAATTAATATGCTTTTTCAGCGTTCGTTGAAGAACATCCCAAGAAAAGACTGCGTCATTGCAGTAAATGAAACAATGTTCGATGGACTCCGGCTTGTTACTTAAGCGACAGTTTATGGACCATGGAACATAAAATCCCCTTTCCTGTAGCCACCGCTTGACAGGTAGTGTTGAGGTATGCAAATTAAAGAAAAAATGTCTTTGCACTGGGAGATACACACATCTTTTTAACGCGTTTCAAAACATCCTGTCCCTGACTGTCACTAAATATTGACCTATAAATTGGAACAGGAAAATTTCATCAACGAACGCATGAGACAAACATGTTTGTGAAACACTAGATAAATATTCCAACGAAAACCGAGCTTTCAGAAAGAACAATGCGTCGACAATCTCTTTCCGAAAACCCGTGAGCCTGTGCTGATTTACGTTCGTAGTTGTAACTATGATAAATGGCAAATGTGATGCCAGCTTCGTTTGGACAAGTGAGAGTAGGAACGGGTATGTCATACTCCTAAAGAAAAGCAGCCTAGAGACTAGTTGGCGTACAAACAAATGAGCAAGGCCCAATCATCCAGACTCCAGAGGTAGGAACAAGTTATCCCGCCTCATCCGTTCCCAAGAGGAACTCCAAATGAAGGTGGCAAACAAACGATGGAATGCTTGGATTCGTAGGCGGGCAGTATAGTACTTGCAGGACGTACATAAGTTTTGGTGCGAGAAAAATATTACAGACTGCGGCCTTGGAGAAGACGGAAAGATCTCGTACTCGCCAGGCATCGATTTTCCGTTTGATAGTTGTTGCAACTGACATCCAGTATGGCCCACTATTCCTAGTTTGATCGAGTGGTACGCCAAGATATTTGATTTCTGGTTGATTCCGTTGGATTCCTGCAAATTTGGATGGCGTTCATCCCCACATGCCCAACCAAAATTCATTCGACTTGTCGTTATTAACAGAAACGCCTGTCAACGCAAAAAAAAATTATGCGTTACCCGGAGTGCTTCTTCTACACTTTTCTTGTCAGAGCAAAAAAAAAAAAAAAAAAAGCGACGTCATCGGCGTAAATCAACAACTTCACCTCAGTGGAATTGATGATGTACCCTCAAACATTAAGGTTTCTAATTATACTAAGGCACAATGGTTTGAGATATAAAGCAAACAGAAGAGGAGATAGAGGAAATCCCTGCCTCACGGAAGATTTTACTGCGATTGGGGCTGAAAGAGAGTTATTAACAATGATTTTGGTAGAGCAATTTCTGTAACATAACTGAACGCCTGAAAGGACAGTGTCTCCAATATTGACATGGGAAAGAATTTGGAGCAAAAAAGAGTGACTGACCTGATCAAAGGCTTTTGAAAGATCAACTTGTACCAATGCAACTTGATCGTTACTATCTGTCGCACACTCCAGAACGGATCTGGCGACGTGTACGTTGATTTGAATTGTTCTTTCTCGGATTCCACACGTCTGGTTTTCTCCAATTAGAGAATGAGTTACCATGTGAAGCCTTTCTGTGAGTATTTTTGCAAAAGTCTTGTAGTCTACATTACACAAGGATATTGGTCTGTAGCTTGCAGTCTTTTTCAGCACTTCTTCATCTGTACGTTTAGGTATTAAGACCGTATGACCTTGATAAAAGGTGGGTGGAAGTATTTTTTCTTTGTATCCTACGTGGAAGACATCAAGCAGCACAGCAGCTATTAGGTCAGTAAATTTCTTATAGAATTCTGCGCTGAGTCCGTCGGGACCTGGTGTCTTATTCATGGGAAGGGAGTTTATGGCATATCGGACTTCTTCAACGGTTAACGCTCCATCTATCAACGCTTTTTCTTCTTCTGAAAGAACTGGTAAGTTGGACAGTAATTCTTTCACACCTTTTGTATCCCCATCTGGTATCACTTTGCCAAAAAGGTTCGTGTAGTGGTCTTGGAAGACTTTAAGAATCTCAGGTGTATCGTACACAGTGGTGCCTTCGTTATCGATTGCTAGAATTTGTTTTTACAGGGCGTATCATCTCTCATCATTTAGCGATCGACGTGTTAGGGGTTCATTGAGCGTAAACCGTTCTGTTCGTGAACGAACAACTGATCCTCTATACTTGTCTGCATCAAATCGTTGTAGCTGTGCTTTGTTTATGTTAATTTCCTCTGTGTATGTCCAAGGGCTAAACGATTCAAGTTCGTATAAGGTTGCCAGGTTGTTGAATAAGTTTCTTCGGTCATTCTTCCGCTCAAACGCCAGGATACTCGAATGTTCAATGACCCAATTCTTGACGTTCTGTTTAAACATATCCCACTTTGCAAAAGCGGTAGGTGCAGGGAGGCGCAAAGCATCTGACAACAGACAAGGAATGCGTTCAGTGAACCCCTTTTCAGAAAGGAGAGTTACATTAAGTTTCCACAAGCCCCATTCGCGGCGAAAAGATTACCGCTTTTTTTCACCGATGCAAATTGATACCAGGCAGTGGTCAGAGAAGAATATTGGTTTCACATTATAGTCACTGATTTGAGGGAACAATTCACCGCTCACATAAATCCTGTCAAGGCGAGCATGTGATGAGTCAAATTTTGAAAGTGTGTGTAATGTAGATCTCCATATTTGACATCACCAATGTATATTAGGTTTTGCTCAGTTATTAATGATTCTAGTTTGGTTGCGCTCGAATCATTTCTGGACGTTCGTTGCGAACGATCTCAATTACTGCAAACACAGTTGAAGTCGCCGAGAAGAACAATATTTCTATCTATAGTCAAATTATGAGATACAAATGAAAAGAAAATATTCCTAGCCGACACTGCATTAGGGGCATAAACACATATGAACCTCCAATCCTTATCGTCATACGTTAGGTCACACAAAAGAAAACGCCCCTCCACATCAATGGTCAAGGAAATTGACAAAAAAGCTCTTTCTTCAGAAACAGAAAACATTCCGCTGAAGTACCGCACGCATGACTTACGCAAATTTCGAAATCACCCATGAACGGTTCCAATGCAATTTCGGTTTCTTGCTCTGTTGAAATCTTGGTTTCTTTTACTGCGAGGATGTCTATCTGATGGTTAAGCAAGAGCTGAAGGAGTTGATGTTGTTTCCTCCTAGAATTTAAACCTCGAACGTTTAAGGTAGCCACACGAAGTGGAAGGGCGCTACGCATGACACTTTATGTTCGGGGATTGTGGGCTGCTTGGGGAATTTCCCCGACTGTTGCAGAGCCTGCTTTATGTTTCTCGTACGGTTTGTGTCGTTTGACTGCCTGTTTGTGGTCTAAAAGCTTTGACTGTGGGGCTAAGCTGTCACCTGGCATTTCGTCCTTCATGGATCATGCTAGCCCCAGTTGTGGTTCCCTGGCCGTCTTCTTTGGAAGACGTTGTCTCTTCAAGGTTCTTCTCTTGCGTCGAGTTAAGAGTAAGAGGTGGAAAGTCCTCTGATGCGTCCCTCGTCGTGGAAGCTCGCGAGCACACCATCACCACAGGGACTGTTGTGTTCTCTCCTTGTGTAGCTGGCTCTTGGAGTCGTGCCTCAGCGTCACATGGTGGCTGTGCAGGGGTGAGGTTCCCTTCATAGTTAACGGGAGAAGAAATGTCGCCTGTAGGTTCGACGACTTCACTGACGTCCATGAGGTTTTCCGTTGACGGCTCTTCGCCTTGGACCGTTCCTTGACGCAATCTGTCTGCATAGGTAAGCACGCAGTCTTCTACGGTATGCCCGAAGCGTCGGCACTGAGAGCATCGCGGTATCCGACAGTACCGGCGGATGTGCCCGACCCTGTTGCACCGTAGACAGAGCGGGGGTCGACCAGGTACAAGCACGAGGCACTGGCATCCGAAGACTATCAACAGGTAGGGAATTTGGGAAGATGACACACCTTCCGCCAGCGCCAGTGTCACTTCTCTCTTCATAGTCTGCAAATTCTCCATTCCTGGAACCCTCCACTTCTCACGTTCGATTGGGATCACTTTTCCGAACGGCTCTAGTGCTTCAGCTATTCTGCGGTTTTCGATGTGACTCGGTAACCACAGCAGCTTTAGCTTCACGTCCTTGGTTTCAGGGTCGATCACAAGGCATTTCCGGCCTTTGACGGTGAGCTCTTTACATGCGGCCAACTTGGCCTTTGTAAGGGCACTCGTGCACGTTATCATCCAGACGTGGGACATCTGATATTGTCCGAGACTACTTATGTCATCTGGGAAAATGGCATCCCTGAAGTCCGGGGCACGATACAGTCGGGCAGACATGTCCGCATGAAGAGCGAATTAAGTATGACGTTACCTGAAGGTAAACGGGGCATCAGAATACGGTAGTTGTCCATACGTGGAAGGAATAACTCGGCCAGAGGCCGATTTTGAACTTTCCGTGGAGAGCATGAAAACTCCTGCCGTTCCAAACGGCGTATTCTTCTTTCTCTCAGCCGGACGGGGAGCACCTGCAACCAGATCGTCATTGAGGTAAAAGGTAATGTCATCTTTTACAATGTTTTTCTCGTTACCTGGGTAGCATCTGGTGAATAGTTTAAAATCGATAATCTGACGTATATCGCACAGTATCAATTTTTGGTTACCTGATTAATTGGAGGCACACCCTTTAAGCGCCAGTCAGTTTTCAAAAAAATGTAACCAAAATGCAATTTTTTTTTATTGCACACTTTGATAGAAGAATTTTTCCTTATTTCAAGCATATAAGACATGCGCATAAAAGTTTAACAACTGAAAACCAAAATTGATCTAAACTTAGACCATATGAGGCAAAAAAAAAAATTAAAAATGGGAACCGAGACGGCATCAGGAATTCCGTAGTTGAAAAACAAAGTTCTAAAAACTGGAAATGCAGACTTCTACACCCGTTGGAGAAGAACTCCATAAACCTTCAAAACTGTGCCTTGGTGTGGTACACCTCGAAGCATGGGATGGCGCACAGTCCCACGCCACAGTCCTTGCACCAGTAGCGCGTTTCTTTGCGCACCTTCTTGTCCCCACCACCTCGTGCCTTGCAGCACACGACGCACCTTCGTGTTGGCAGCTCCTTTCCAGGTGTCGGTGGGATGTAGGACACAAAGTGTCTGTCGGTCAGACGCAGCAAGCTGGTGTCGGATGGCCTGCCTCTCTTGAGGGTGCGGTTCGGATCGTGGTACTTCTGGACCATTCCTTCGACCAGCGCCAGCCGGAACTCCAGGTGGCTCAGTTTCCCGCCTTGTTTCTGGTAGAGCAAAAATGCGTTGAAGACTGCCATGTCTAGGAGGTGACGGAAAATCTTCTTGTAATAAATTTTTTGTCGGCTTCTGGTTGTAGGGTAGTAGGAAAGCATCTGATCACTCTTGTCAACACCACCCATGGTGTGGTTGTAGTCGATGACTACAGCTGGTTTCGACACTGTTTCTTTCTTCCTATTTACCATTTCTGTCATGGTGGCACCATGCACAGTGGACAGCAAAGTCACAAGCTTTTTATCCCTCCACTGGAGTGCCATGCACTTTCCACGCTGGTATGCCACAATATCTCCCTTTTTGAGATTAGCATCTTTGAGAGGTGGCATATCTTTGCGGGATGGTCGCACAGTGCCGTAGACGTAAGTCTTGCGGCTCAGAAGTTTTTCAACCAACTCCGGCGACGTGTAGAAATTATCCACAGTACGGCAATAGCCCTGGTCCAGCAGTGGCTCCATTAGTCTCATGACGACTTTCGTCCCCATGGCGCTTGCCTGATCGTCGACGTCAGTGCCCTTGCCTGTGTAGATGACGACGTCCCATATGTAGCCGGATGCTGCCTCACACAGCACATAGAACTTCACGCCGAAGCGGGACCGTTTTAGCGGAAGGAACTGTTTCCAGGTGAGTCGTCCCTTGTAGAGCATTAGGCTCTCGTCAATGGACATATTTTCTTCTGGCATGTAGCTTGCTTTGAAGCGCTCTTTCATGAGCGACAGCACCGGCCAGATCTTGCGAAGTTTTTGACGCGCTTGCCCCACTTCACCAGCATCATCTTCGTTGTTTGCAAAGTGGAGAAACTTCATGAGCAGAATAAATCTGCTCTTACTCATCACCTCTCCAAACACTGGGGTTTCAATCACTCTGCGCTTTGACCAATACCACTCGACAACTGGCTTGTCTACTATTCCCTGTAAAAGCAGCAGGGCGAAGAAGACTTTCATTTCTGCTTCCGTCACCGGTTTCCACGCCTTCACACGGGAGCCCCCTGAGATCGGTGCGGTCGCCAAGTGTTGATCGGCATACCTGTTTGTTTCCTTGACGATCTGAGTCATTACGTCCGAGCTCAGCAAGAGTTCCAAGTACCCAACAGCGTCGAGGGTGTCGTTTTCGTCGAGACCAGCGGAGACACCCGGCGTGGCAGTAAACGGAAAGCGGGGAGGAGCTCGCGGAGGATTTGTCGTGTCCACCTTTGTCCAGTCCCGCGCCGAAGCAAGGACCTCATCGCCGCTAAGGTCCGAGTCACTGGAGCTTTCAAACTCTTCCGCGGACTCTCCGCTTCCTTCCCTATCGTCTAGCGCAAAGTCATCATCATCCGAACTAGAAAACTCATCATCAACTAAAGATACGCTCTTCCGAGACGAGCGACGCATGCCACCACTCAAAAGAGACGCCATTTTTAAAAACCCATGTTGCCGGAGGAGCACGATAGATTCTCAAAATGATGGCAAAATTAGCGAAATTTCGGTTCGCTTTTCCTCCTGGTGGCTAGCGGGAGAACTATTCTCAACGTAAAAATAGACTGGACGAGCGTGCCTCGTCGCTGGCACTACAGAGTCGGGCTGAAACGAGCGGACGAGCGACGCTCGTCCTCGGCATTTTCGGGACGAACTCCGTGGACGAGTCAGACTCGTCCTCGGCGCTTAAAGGGTTAAACAATATCTGTATTATGTACACGTCAGTAAGCAAAATATACACCATTACATGAAGTTGTGATCTATAAAGCCCTAATTTAAGGGCGGTCACCTGATAGCAAACTGAGGACTTCAGACCAGTGTCTTAGGCGTGACCGAAAGCGAGCGACGAAATACGTTGCTCGTTAATTGCATATGTAAAAGGAAGGCGCTACCGACCTACGTTACCTCAAAATAAAAGGAACGGGTTACCGTTACCGATAAAAAGTAAAACACGTTACTTTTGAGTCACTCTGTATTTATTAATTAAACGTTTTACTCTTTTGGGTTTTCCCACATGCCTTCAAAAATATTCTAAAAGCATGTGGGACGAGTGCAAGAATTCACATGCCTTAGCGCCAAAAAAAACCCTGTGTTCGATACCTTAGGGTTTCTTATCTAGGAGGTGTTGAATACCTTAGGGTTTCTTATCTAGGAAGTGTTGGATACCTTAGGATTTCTTATATAGAAGGTGTTGGATACCTTAGGGTTTCTTATCTAGAAGGTGTTGGATATTTTAGGGTTTCTTATCTAGGAGGTGTTGGATTCCTTAGACTTTCTTATCTAGGAGGTGTTGGATACATTAGGCTTTCTTATCTAGGAGGTGTTGGATACCTTAGGGTTTCTTATCTAGGAGGTGTTGAATATTTTAGGGTTTCTTATCTAGGAGGTGTTGGATACCTTAGGCTTTCTTATCTAGGAGGTGTTGGATACCTTAGGGTTTCTTATCTAGGAGGTGTTGGATACCTTAGGGTTTCTTATCTAGGAAGTGTTGAATACCTTAGGGTTTCTTATCTAGGAAGTGTTGGATACCTTAGGCTTTCTTATATAGAAGGTGTTGGATACCTTAGGGTTTCTTATCTAGAAGGTGTTGGATATTTTAGGGTTTCTTATCTAGGAGGTGTTGGATTCCTTAGACTTTCTTATCTAGGAGGTGTTGGATACCTTAGGCTTTCTTATCTAGGAGGTGTTGGATACCTTAGGGTTTCTTATCTAGGAGGTGTTGAATATTTTAGGGTTTCTTATCTAGAAGGTGTTGGATATTTTAGGGTTTCTTATCTAGGAGGTGTTGGATTCCTTAGGGTTTCTTATCTAGGAGGTGTTGGATACCTCAGACTTCCTTATCTAGAAGGTGTTGGACACCTTAGGGTTTCTTATCTAGAAGGTGTTGGATATTTTAGGGTTTCTTATCTAGGAGGTGTTGGATTCCTTAGACTTTCTTATCTAGGAGGTGTTGGATACCTTAGGCTTTCTTATCTAGGAGGTGTTGAATATTTTAGGGTTTCTTATCTAGGAGGTGTTGGATACCTTAGGCTTTCTTATCTAGGAGGTGTTGGATACCTTAGGGTTTCTTATCTAGGAAGTGTTGAATACCTTAGGGTTTCTTATCTAGGAAGTGTTGGATACCTTAGGCTTTCTTATATAGAAGGTGTTGGATACCTTAGGGTTTCTTATCTAGAAGGTGTTGGATATTTTAGGGTTTCTTATCTAGGAGGTGTTGGATTCCTTAGACTTTCTTATCTAGGAGGTGTTGGATACCTTAGGCTTTCTTATCTAGGAGGTGTTGGATACCTTAGGGTTTCTTATCTAGGAGGTGTTGAATATTTTAGGGTTTCTTATCTAGGAGGTGTTGGATACCTTAGGCTTTCTTATCTAGGAGGTGTTGGATACCTTAGGGTTTCTTATCTAGGAGGTGTTGGATACCTCAGACTTCCTTATCTAGAAGGTGTTGGATACCTTAGGGTTTCTTATCTAGAAGGTGTTGGATATTTTAGGGTTTCTTATCTAGGAGGTGTTGGATTCCTTAGACTTTCTTATCTAGGAGGTGTTGGATACCTTAGGCTTTCTTATCTAGGAGGTGTTGGATACCTTAGGGTTTCTTATCTAGGAGGTGTTGAATATTTTAGGGTTTCTTATCTAGGAGGTGTTGGATACCTTAGGCTTTCTTATCTAGGAGGTGTTGGATACCTTAGGGTTTCTTATCTAGGAAGTGTTGAATACCTTAGGGTTTCTTATCTAGGAAGTGTTGGATACCTTAGGCTTTCTTATATAGAAGGTGTTGGATACCTTAGGGTTTCTTATCTAGAAGGTGTTGGATATTTTAGGGCTTCTTATCTAGGAGGTGTTGGATTCCTTAGACTTTCTTATCTAGGAGGTGTTGGATACCTTAGGCTTTCTTATCTAGGAGGTGTTGGATACCTTAGGGTTTCTTATCTAGGAGGTGTTGAATATTTTAGGGTTTCTTATCTAGGAGGTGTTGGATACCTTAGGCTTTCTTATCTAGGAGGTGTTGGATACCTTAGGGTTTTTTATCTAGGAGGTGTTGAATATTTTAGGGTTTCTTATCTAGGAGGTGTTGGATACCTTAGGTTTTCTTATCTAGGAGGTGTTGGATACCTTAGGGTTTCTTATCTAGGAAGTGTTGAATATCTTAGGGTTTCTTATCTAGGAAGTGTTGGATACCTTAGGCTTTCTTATCTAGAAGGTGTTGGATACCTTAGGGTTTCTTATCTAGAAGGTGTTGGATATTTTAGGGTTTCTTATCTAGGAGGTGTTGGATTCCTTAGACTTTCTTATCTAGGAGGTGTTGGATACCTTAGGCTTTCTTATCTAGGAGGTGTTGGATACCTTAGGGTTTCTTATCTAGGAGGTGTTGAATATTTTAGGGTTTCTTATCTAGGAGGTGTTGGATACCTTAGGCTTTCTTATCTAGGAGGTGTTGGATACCTTAGGGTTTCTTATCTAGGAGGTGTTGGATACCTCAGACTTCCTTATCTAGAAGGTGTTGGATACCTTAGGGTTTCTTATCTAGGTGTTGGATATTTTAGGGTTTCTTATCTAGGAGGTGTTCGATTCCTTAGACTTTCTTATCTAGGAGGTGTTGGATACCTTAGGCTTTCTTATCTAGGAGGTGTTGAATATTTTAGGGTTTCTTATCTAGGAGGTGTTGGATACCTTAGGCTTTCTTATCTAGGAGGTGTTGGATACCTTAGGGTTTCTTATCTAGGAAGTGTTGAATACCTTAGGGTTTCTTATCTAGGAAGTGTTGGATACCTTAGGCTTTCTTATATAGAAGGTGTTGGATACCTTTGGGTTTCTTATCTAGAAGGTGTTGGATATTTTAGGGTTTCTTATCTAGGAGGTGTTGGATTCCTTAGACTTTCTTATCTAGGAGGTGTTGGATACCTTAGGCTTTCTTATCTAGGAGGTGTTGGATACCTTAGGGTTTCTTATCTAGGAGGTGTTGAATATTTTAGGGTTTCTTATCTAGGAGGTGTTGGATACCTTAGGCTTTCTTATCTAGGAGGTGTTGGATACCTTAGGGTTTCTAATCTAGGAGGTGTTGGATACCTCAGACTTCCTTATCTAGAAGGTGTTGGATACCTTAGGGTTTCTTATATAGAAGGTGTTGGATATTTTAGGGTTTCTTATCTAGGAGGTGTTGGATTCCTTAGACTTTCTTATCTAGGAGGTGTTGGATACCTTAGGCTTTCTTATCTAGGAGGTGTTGGATACCTTAGGGTTTCTTATCTAGGAAGTGTTGAATATCTTAGGGTTTCTTATCTAGGAAGTGTTGGATACCTTAGGCTTTCTTATCTAGAAGGTGTTGGATACCTTAGGGTTTCTTATCTAGAAGGTGTTGGATA